AGTGTTCTTTCTCGCGGTCGGCTCGATGCAGACCGACACCTCCAACTGGACTGGGCAGAATTTCATGGCTGCCGGGTGGTCGGGGGTGCGTTAACATTTACCTTCTTTCCGAATACCATGAGATGTATGGTTCTTGTGGTAAAGATGTTGATTCATGGCTTCTGGGTCTTTGCCATGCAGACTTGTAGGTAGATACTAATGTTTCAGGGAAACGTACTGGCCTGTAACTTCAGCTCTGAAGATTGAGGCAGTTTGTTCCTCCAAAATATTGGTTTCTACTTATAAATCCCCGTGGTATTTGCAACCCGGCAGGTCGATGCTGAAGTGACAGGTCACTCTGTGGTTGCAGCTGCTGACAGGAGCCGCAGTTTGCACCTTCGGCTTCCTCGGTTTTGTTGGCATCGTGTCTCAGAGCTGCGTGCAGAGCCAGGGTCGAAAACTGAGACTTGCCGCCGCTGGCGTCACGCTGCTTGTCATGTTCCTGTCTTATTGTGCCGTCGCTGTGGTGGTCTCCATGATGGTTCAGTTTCAGTGAGTCAATATTCTAATTTTATTCCGGATGCGTTGATGTATTTCTACAAATTGCCGATACCTTATATTAAACCTTGCTTTACGTCAGGTTTGTTTTACACCTGGCGCAGTCGCCGGACTTGAAATTAAACATAGCGTATGATAGTTTCTCATTCGGAAATAAACAATTTTGACATCGGGGATGGAACCCAGAATCTTTTGAATACTATTCTAGCGTACTAACCGCTATACCACTGGGGCAGACCTTTATAATATATTGTACTCTTTGAATGCTGACGCTTTATGAATAAATTACACAAATCTGACTCTCCGACAGTCTTGGTGGCACAAAATGAAAGAAAATGTCTTATTGCGCAAAATGTTTGTGGTATTCTTACCACTTTGAAACTGAGTGTTGAAGATAGAAAATGTAACAAATTGTAATCAGTGAAGTGAATTTGATTGTGTTTATTGATGCTGTAGAAACATGAGGGAGGTGTAAAGTGGCCTATCCACGTACAAGTCTGACTTGTGAGTCTGGCTCGGCGAGCTTGACTCGTGAGCCGGGCTCGGATATATTTCTCCACACGTGCATAGCAGACTCGGCTCGTGACATCCCACCCACAAATGAGTTTGGCTCAATGGAACTCGAGCCGAGCCAGACTCGTACGTGGATGGGCCGCTTAAGAAACGTTATGAAGCACAGACACAAACTGTGGACAGATTTTAAGTAATTATAACTGACAGTCGGTAGTATAACGTACTGAATTTCTAGTCTTGGTTTTTCTGATTTTGTGTGTTAGGGCTCTGAACTGGTCTCCTGTGCCTCTCCTTCGTGTGTTTGAGATCCGTGATGTTGACTGGGCGCGCCTGGTGATGGCGACTCTCAGTATACTGGGCCTTTCTCTGGCCTTGCTCGAAGTGTGCACTCCTCTGTATGTGCTGGTTGTGTGTTTGAGCAGTGAGTATCGTATCAGGTGTCGGCTTGAAAGAGGTTCTATCCCCTTGCAATGGGCAGCATATCTGATTGGTCAGAGTTAAATAAGGAACTGAGGTGTTTTGTTGTTACTGTAGGAGAGGAATGGCGAATATTACCGTGCGCCTTGGGTAGAGAGAATGCCAGTACGGGCACACCGGTACTAGCGATATTGGCCGCTGGGATACCTGCCAGTCTCCTGGCCTGCGTCTGTCCGCTGTGGCTGCTGGTACAGGTGATGTGTGTGGGTCCACTCATTGATCACGCTTTTATAGCCGCCACAGTAATCCATAGGCGCTACCAGCCACACACACCTGTCAGGACCAAGAATGCTGCAGGTCTGTTACTGCCAGCATAACTTTTCTTATTCTGCTGTTCTTGAAAGTTCACGTATCTTAATGCCATGCCATCGCAGGTTATGTTCTGTTTTGCGTTGATAAAATGTAGGTTTTGGTATTTAAGAACAGGATGCTGATGAGAATATTTGTAAATAAGAGAGCTTTATAAGTTCTGCTCTTTACCAAATATTATTAGGATGATCAGATGAAGGTGGATGAGATGGGTACATCATACATTTGGGAGAGGTGTGAAGTTTTTTATAAAATTTTAATGTGGAAACATGAATAATGCACTTGGCAGACCTAGACATAGATGGGAGGGTATTGTCTGTCACTAAATAGACATGGGAGTAAGAATTATGCATTTATTTTGCAGAGATAAAATTAATTTTTTTGCTGCGTTAAATCAGATTTTTTTGCTTGAACTAACGGTGACATATCGCATTTAAAGATAAAATTGTACAATATAGTTGATAAAAGAAATGGTTATTATTTATTTTATAAATGCTGTTCTCATTAGATAATTTCTTTCAGATAAGAGGGTGAATTATCATCATATGGATCAAAATTCCATGTCACTTTGTCATCCACTTGATGATTATGATGAGTTTGATGACGACGATACAGAGGCAGAAGGGCAGAAACAACATAAGTTAACAGTTCGTTGTCTGAAGTCTGGCCTGGGCTTCCTGCCAGCTGTCCTTCGTCAGCATGTCTCGTCAGGACCCCTCCAGCAATACTACACCAGCCTCTCCAGTCCAGGCGCCGTCCATAATGGCATTCCTCGAACACAGACTGACCTGAGCAGTGCCACGTTCTCTTCCGAGTCCATCGACGTCACGTATATGGATCCCGATAGCATCAGTCTAGTGCAGAGAAATGTAATGAAAAATGAAATTAACCACAGCTTTAGCAATGGAACTATTGTAACATCATTATCTTATGATTCGATGACACAGGGTCAAATGGATACAAGGTATATGACTAATGGTTCTGTGACCTCTCTGAAATCTATTGAATCAGTGATCATGGATCAAAGTGAATTAGAATTGAAAAATGTTCCTGTTCCCTCAGTAAAGTGTCCAAATTCTGTGATCCATATTCAGGACGACGCAAAAATTATCGGTGATCACCCGTTCGTCTCGACAGAATCTCGTCTTTCCGCGGAACGACGTCAAGATTCTGTTGGTTCGTCATGTTCTTTAAATGGTGATGAAGAAGGCAGCAAGGTTACTTGTCATGGTTCTGTAAATTCTTCAAGGAAAGCGTTTAATTTTAGTAACGGGAAACTAATAATAAATGGAGATGCAATCGAAGACTTATCAATGGTCGGAAGTGACTGTGACACGCTGTCCGCAAATGGGGCCAAACGTTGTAATAATGAAAGTGGAGCCACAGGGTACGAAGAACAGGACAGAACGACACACAGTGCAGGTGATGATTCTGATACTGACAATGAGGGTGCAACACTGTCTTCCGCATCGACGTGCGGCGGAGAGGCAGACGATAGTGACGACAGTACGACGGACATTGATGCCATAGTGGCAGAGTACAAGGAGCGGATTAAAGTAAGAATAAGGCAACAGGGTGTTAATTATCAAATAGAATGTCATATTTTGAAGAATTGTATTTAATGAAAGAATTGGCTTATGAAGATTATTCGTTTTAGAAGACGGCCGTCTTCTGGGTTGTAGCACTGCGATCAGGGCATCGCCCTGATGATGGAGTCAGCAAGGACCTCTGAAACGTTGGTAAACTTTGACCAGACTGCATGGCACTACAACCCATAATACAGCAGTCATCTTCATGCTCATTGCCATGAGAACCTCAGATCTTACTTTTTGACTGTGATATATGTTGACTTTTATGATTGCCGCAAAAATGTATGAACAAACAGAGAAAATATTTTTGTAACAGGGATTTTTATGTTAGCTCTGATCATTGTTTGCAGAAGTTCACTGTTTTAACAGGTAGCCACAACGCTGACAGGTGTGCAGCCAGTAGCGTGCGAACCCACTCCAGCAACAGGTCGACGTGTCACGCTGTCGTTGGTCGGGGTTCTGGTCTGCGCGTTGGTGGCGGGGATAGCTACAGTCCGTCCCGAAGCCGCGATTCTGTGGTGTGGGAGCCTGGGTGTTGCGGGAACCCTGTTTCTCCTAGCTGCGATCGCACGGCAACCACAAAACCATCGGGGAGCGGAAACCACCGTGCCTCTTGTCCCTTGGCTGCCAGCCGCAGTGGTTCTCATCAACACAATCCTGTGTTCGCAGCTTTTGGCGACCGTCTGGCCAGCCAGCGTCCTCTGGCTAGCTACAGGTGTGCAGCCAAGTTACTGCTGAACTATTTCAAATTCTCTGTGAAACACACACAGCACATCTGTCACCGGTCGTCTATAATCTTGTCGCAGGTCTCGTACTTTATTGGCGAAAACGCTGTCGGTGGTGGCCACGTAACTCTCCAGGGACTGGAGGTGGTAGTGGCTCAACTCGGAGAGAACGTATTCGTCTTCATGCGCCTCCTCACCATCCCACGGTGTCCACGCTGATTCCCAGTCATCGACATCTCCCAGACGACCGGGTCGGTCGGCTGACTCGAGTAGACACCATCTTGATATCCAGATGATTATATATTCATAATTCGTAAATAAATTGAATAACGTCTTCATTAAGCTTTTTTTGGCTTCTGTGGGACGGTGATTGGTTCGGTCATGACGGAGATCTTAATGAAAGAAATCGCTGGAATAGCGTTCTGGGCCTCGTTCTAAATAAATGGCGACTAATCCTATTTAATGCGTTTTACGAGTAATTTCTTAATACTAGTTTAACCAGTTTAGATGATTTGATTTAATACTGATCACACGTCCGTGAGGTCCGGAGTCCATTTTCTCAGAGGAAAAAAAAAGCACGTGCCAACGAAAATAATGGCTTGTGTTTTGAAATGGGTTTTTTTGTGCCTATTTTACTCTCGGTCAGCGAATCAATTAAATATGTGATAAATTATGTATTATTATAATATCCCTTGTAAATAAAAGTACCGAAATATGTTATGACCCAGATGTGAAAATTCCTTTCCTTTTCGAAACGTGGCGATTGTGTGAGGTTGAGGCTTTATTTTAAGTTTTGAATGAATTTGTTTTGGCTGTTTTGTTATGGTTGAATAAATTAAGTTCGTAAAACACTTTTGGTGGCCTCGTTATTTTAATAATGATCTTACATGTGTGTTTGTACAGGTTCATCTTTACAATTTAAAAGAGAAGAAGTGGTACAAATATGGATGAAAAAAACAGCGATAAAAGAGTTTGTGTTCATGTCCGTGGGATCAGAATCTGACAAGAAAAAAATTGTGCAGTATGTTTTAAAAATTTCAAGACTAAAATTTTACGTGTTCTGTGTCGGAAAACTTGAAGGTAAGTGACCGTTTGCTAGACATTGCTGTAGATGGAAACATAATATTAAAAAATCTAACATTTAATACAGGTAACTACAGTGAGGTTGCGGAGTGGATTCTGGTTAATCATCCATCTTATTGTGTTTCTTGGTATTGCGTGAGTACAGCAAACTCGAGCATCGCGAAGATCATCTTAATTTTTTTTGTGTTCCGCCCAGCATGTCCAGTCACCCTGACAGCTTTCAACCGGGAACGCCGACATCACCCCAATAAACATCAAAAGTAATATTTTCATGTTTATTAATTCATTAATTATACTTGTTAAGTATCATGTTATTATAACCTCATTTTTTCTTATGTCTTAAATTAGTGCTTCGCAGATTTCTTTTTAAAAGGGGGTTTTCAAGAACCTCACCCCCGCGATTGGCGAGGGTGTGCTGTACTGTTTGAATTCTGACTTTGAATTTCGAACCCCAGAAATGTTTATTGTTCCGAAATGCGTATTTTATGTTTTGTTCGCATTGATCTACATGAAGCATAGTCTACAGAATTTCGGTCCCCTTTAGTTGAAACATGGAAGATATTTCTGGCGTTTTTATTGTCCTCTTGTGTATATCAAGAAGCTTTATTTGGGAATAATTCACTGTTGACTCTCAATTTGCTAGTAAGTTTCTTTTCTAGTAGTGAGAGGGGAACGGTGGTCGGCAAAACACGTTTACAACACCTGCCGAAACTACCTATTACATTACAATAACTTTTCAGTAAAATCAGTTTCTTTGTGGGTGTCGGGGGAAATGGAGTCTTCTACTGACCTGTGAGGTATAGAGGAAGCTTGCTTTGTAGTAATGCTGAGTCGAGAAAGGAGGAAAAATAAATAAATAAACGAGGTGAGAGGGAGATAAATTCAAGGAAATGAGTCCTTTAGAAGGTAATAATCGCTCAGTTAGTCCAGAAATTCCCCACTTTTCAAACCGAACCAGATGGACCTCTTTGGGGACAAATGGCGGGCTATTGTGGGCACTGTAAAAGACCTTTGAGTAAGATGATGGCAGGTTTCTGAGTTGTTGCCCCGTGTACTCTGGCAGAAGTTAACCGACGTTTCAGAGGTCATCATCAGAATCAAACCTTTGAGTTTCGTAAAAGGAGGGGAATTTTTTTTTGATGAGCTGAGCGACTATCAGTTTCTCAAGAAGGATTCTGCTCCGTAGAGCTAAAAAAAGTGTATAAAGGAAAATGTTCATCATAATTTATTCTTGGAACCTGTCGTCAGAATTAACTACAGGTTTCCTTACTTGCTTTCAGTCCTTTAAAATTTAGTGATTTCTATATTTACCAGCTGCTTTAAGAACCAATATATCTGCATTTTACCTACAGAATTAATTTATGGGATGGTTCTCAGAGCGATTATTTCCTTAAACAGCGTCAACCAGTTGATCTTCGTAATGGTGAAGTGTCATGTTTCCTTCGCGGTACGGACTGAATCATTAAATATTATTTAGATGAGCTTAGTGTTTCGGAGACTCAAAGCGGTTTTATCTGCAAGTCTGTACCTGAACGACACGAATTCTGTAGGAAACGTGTCCATCTCCTTTCATACAAATCCATGAAATAGGCATTTTAAGATCTTAAAAGGTCCGGTCCAATAGGAATGTAAAGTATCGGCTGCTCTTCTATTGTACGTGTTTATTGCAGTTGATTTCTTGTGGGCCTGGGCCTGCCTTGTTGAAAAGTGTAAGGGAAGGTTAGCGAAGCAATCAGTGTCTGCGACGGACTTAAAGGCAACACAAAACCTCGTGCAGTATATTGAATGATGGCCTCTGAGCTTACTGACTTCAGGGGAGACCAAAAGAGACGTATACAAAATTTTAGTTGGAAAACCTGAAGGGATGAAGTCACACGCTAGACCAAGACGTAAATGGAAGGATTTTTGTTAAATAGGAAAGGCTGGATTCGTCGTGCTCAGGGTGGGGTCCGGTGGCGGATTCTTGTGAACACAGTAATTAACCTTCATGTTCCTTAAAATGATGGGAATTTGAGTGGGTGAGCGACTGTTAGCTTCTCAGGAAAGACTCGGCTCCATGCAGTCCGATAGCTAGGGGAGATATTAAATTCGAAGTTACACAAGCGGACTTTAGAATCAGTAGTTCTGAGTGACGAGATTTGATGGTTTTTCGTCGGCGAAAAATGGTTGTCGTTTGGTTTGTGGTTACGTGCAGTCATGCAGTTGTTTCACTCCTGAACATGGAGGCGATGTTTTCCTCCGAAACACGGGTAATCACCAATGTTCGTTCTGAAAGTAATATTCTGTTTATTTCGCTTAAAGTTGACCTTGTTTGTCCGCCTTTCTGACCACTTGTTTTCTATCCCGACCGATTTCACCGAAATTCCGTATGGCACTTGCATGTAGTCAGTTCCTGTTGCGTGCAAAGTCCACCGACTATAAAGTCCAGTTTATTTTATTTGTGGTTTATTCCTTGACGCTGTAATTATCTCATACTGTAAAGCGTAGAATGATAGGATGATTAATGTACCAAGGTGGTGCCAGTTACGACTAGTCGGTGTTCTAATAAATGAACGTGAAATTGTTCACCCCTTCTTGACTTCTGGCTCAGTGCAGTCGTAGAAAACCGTGAAGGAAAAAATATGGTTTTACCTGAAATACGTATAAGTCAGCTGACGTTGAAAGACCCTCACTCACTTCAAAGTTATTTTGTGGCTATTACCTATTGTAAAATATTGAAGTGGTTTGAGCTACAGCTGCCCGACTTACCGACTGTTTTATTACCGTGGGCGAACAAATGATTGAGGTACAAATAGCATTTTGCCACTTTAAGACGAAGAAAACGAACGGCGAAATCATAGAAATCATATATTTACATTTGCGCTATTTAAAATAAAATTTAAACAGACCAATCAATGTTCCTTTTCAGAAATTTAGTCATTAACTGTAACTCAAAATCTGAATTTAAATGAGTCAATATTTTTTGCCAAGCCATCGATCAATAAATCTAATAGTTTAACGATAAATATTTCCAAATTAAAAGACTCTTATCAATTTATTTTGTGTTCTATCTGACGACAGGTCCATATGAACAGGATCCTTCCACCCTTTTCTCGGACTGGGACCTGTTCATATACGTTCTTGGCAGATGATCCAGAAGTGGTTTGCCATTGCCTTCTTCTGTGTGTGAATGGAGTAGTTGTTGGGATGCCACGGAGGAAAACTCCGTGTTGCCTAGACCACGGCCTTGCCCAACACAAGTTATAAATTCGGGTACCGCCGGGAATCGAACTCGAGACCCCAGGATTATAAGGCCAGCGTTCTAACCGCTAGACCACCGTGGCGGTTCTTATCAATTATATTTCACAAATTAGAATTTCCCCCATGCATAAACACGACGCCATGAATGTGTGTAGAAAGAGTGGAGGTAAATCTCCATTTATTCATAACCTTCGCGCTCCGGCCGCTTTGCCCCTTAGTACTCATTGGATATGAAGTTAGGTGGAACCTAGATTAGGCAAATAAAAGAAAAAGTGTCCCTGGCAGGAAAGAAATTTCTTCTATTGAGGCCCTGGTAATTGTTTCATAAATTTAAGTTCGAAAATATGAGATACAAAGACTGTCCTCATACGTTTAATGGCCTCGAATGCTTTCCTATTCAATTTCTGTAGCATTTACATCAAAATTATTGTCGGTAGTTGAATCATTATTAGTTATTTCTGAATGCCTCGCAATGATGTTCCTTCCAGAGAATTGCCCTATGAAGATGTTTATGAATAGTTGACTGGGAGACAAAGGAGCAGGTCGTGAGGCGTCTCCTCTCTTGTCCCCGCCGGCGGCTGTCACAGTGTCAGGACGTAGGTCGCCACGCTTCGTCGCACTTGTGAGCCGAA